GTATGGGAGAAAACATGCGCCATTTTAATGACCTCCCCATTAAAACAAACAAACAAACAAACAAAAAAAACCACCATGGTGGAATAAAGTTGAAAATCAATAGCTAGATAAACCACACAAACTACACAAATGCACCAGCTCCTGGACAGGGATTTCTACCTGCTACTGGCAACTTAGACAGAGCAGACCATGTTTCACCTCTACCTGAGTTTAACTTGTTAAAATTGAGAATAACCTACTATGTAAAAGCCAGCACCACCTGTAGAGCAGAGGTGGATCTCCCACCTGTAATCCAGTTTCTCGTTTATTGTTACTTATTTTATTACTGTTTTGCTATTTTTAGATTGAAATTTGAATATTAGGATAATAAACCTCATTACTTGTTCATTTTAAATTGCATGCTTTGGGCATGAAGTCTTTTCTCTATGGAGTGTAACACTAGCAAGTCTTCTGTGCACACTGCAGTCCCAAGCCAAGCATTCGATATGTGGAAGGAGGACATCCTGGAAGCAAGGAAAATAATGCTTGCTGGTGTTGCTGCAAATGGGCAACATGCCCAAGCAGCATGGGATGCAGACTACGTCAGTGTGAGAACAGGGCTCTGTGTGCAACAGAGCCCCTTAAAATTAGAGACATGGTCTCTGAGGTCAGGGTGGCTGAGGATCGTGGGCAAAAGTTTCTTTTCCTTGGGCTCTTGGTCTGTTGAACTGAACAGCAGCTCGACTCAGAGTAGGATGACATCAACCCAACTGTATCACCTGCCATTCTCACCAACCATGAGCCCCAAGCTGTGCACACACACTGACTACACACCTTGGATCACATGAACAACATAATTTGAAAGAACAAAATACATTCAACAGCACTTTAATCCCCTGAACATTTTTGAACATGTGATTTCTATGAAAAGATGGCTAGACTTTTCAGAATTGGGGGTGGTCAATAAATGATAAAGCCAAGCCCATGGAAATTTTGCACATTTTTCTGTGCAAATCCCTTGAATTCAATTTAATAGTTTACCCTGTATTGACAATCCTCCACAGGACAGAGCCAGGGTTCAGCATCAGAACTGGATGATTTCAGGACCCATCCTGTGCAAGACATATGCTGTCTGCTACATAGAGAAGAGTGAATGAAGGCAGGACCCCCAGCTTAGCATCAGCAACCATATTTTCTAGATATGAGAGCCCCTGGTCATTCTAGCTCTGAGGTTGGGGAGTGCAGTTCACCTTCTCAAGTGGCAGAATAGACTGTGCCATGTGCATCCTTGTCCAGGGGTGAAACGTAATAGATGAATCCTCCCTCACCAGATGGACTAAGGAGATGGAGACAGGCTTCCCACTTCAATATGGAGGGTCACCTAGAAGAGAAACAGAACAGCAGTGGGCACAGGTGACGGCAGTAGTGGCCTAACTACTATTAAACCTAGCCCCAATCCTACCCCTACCCCTAATGCTACCCCTACTCCTAACCCTAACCCTAACTCCTAACCTAACCCTAGCCCTAATCCTACCCCACTCCTAACCATAACCCTAATGCTAACTCCTAACCCTAAACCTAAGCCCCAATCCTACCCCTACCCCTAGCCCTAATGCTACCACTACTCCTAACCCTAACCCTAACCCTAACTCCTAACCCTAACCCTAACCCTAGCCCTAATCCTACCCTTACCTGTAGCACTGACATTAACCCTAAACCCTAACTCTAACCCCTAACCTCAACCCTAACTAACCCTAACCTCAACCGTGACCCCACAAAACCATAAAACCCTAAAACCCCAACACTAACACTAACCCTAACAAATGACACAAACCCTAACAGATACCCTAACCTTAACCCTAACTCAACTCTAACCCTAACCCTAATCACCTGAACCCTAACTAACCCTAACCCCAACCCTGACCCCACAAAACCATAAAACCCTAAAACCCCAACACTAACACTAACCCTAACAAATGACACAAACCCTAACCGATACCCTAACCTTAACCCTAACTCAACTCTAACCCTAACCCTAATCACCTGAACCCTAACCAAACCCTAATCCTAACCCTAACCCTAAACCCCTAACCCCTAACCCTACCCCTAACCTTACCCAACCCTACCCCAACCCTATCCCTAACCCTAACACTAACATTAAAATCAATCCTAAACCCTGATTCTAACCCCAATCCCAGCACTAACCCTAACCCTCACCCTGACCCCCTAAACCCATAACCCCCTAAAGCCCTAACCCTAAACCTAACCCTAACCAATGACACTAATCCTAACCCATATCCTAACACTAACCCTAAATCTAACCCAAATCTATACCCTAACCATAACCCTAATCCAACTCTAACCCTAATTCTAATTGCCCTGACCCTAACCCAACCCTAACCAAAACCCTAACCCTAACCCTCCCTCACCAGATGGACTAATGAGTTGGAGACAGACTTCCCAGTTCAACATAGAGGTTCACCTGGCACAGAAATAGAGCAGCAGTGGGCAAAGGAGATGGCAGCAGTGGCCTAACTACTACTAAACCTAGCCCTAAGCCTATCCCTAACCCTAACCCTAACTAACCTTAACCCTAACCCTCACACCCTAAAACCATAAACCCCCAAAGCCCCAAAACTAACACACAACATTGTGCCCAAAACCCATGAAAACTCAATTAGACAAAAACCCAGCACAGAACTGGGGAAATGGGCAACAGGCCCCAAGGTTAGCCAAAGAACTATTAGCAACTGATTACTGCTGGGTGAGGAAGAATTGATCTTCTTTAAGGGAGAGATTCTATATAGGCTGACTAGAACCCATTGGATGAACTTGTACTGAGACACATCTGGGAACACTAACTTGAGTCAGTAGACCTTAACACATATGACAGAATGCATGAAATCTGATACAGGGGCTCTGGGAAGGTGTGGACGAGTTAAAGGGCATAAAGATGATTAAGATGTTTTGTATGAAACGCACAAAAATTCAGCATACGAACACACACACACACACACAATGGGGGCTGGAGAGATGAGTCAGTGATTAAGAGCACTGGTTGTTCTTGCAGAACACCTAGGTTTAAATCCCAGCACCCGTATTGTGGCTAACAACCATCCATATCTTCAGTTCCAGGGGACCTGATGCTCTCTTCTTTCCTCCACGGGCACTGCACGGCATGGATA